TCCCCTAGTAAGCAAAGTCTCTCACTTTACTAAATCATTAATGCTCGGATGATTTCTATGACAAAGCCTAAATTTATTGGGACTCCGTCAAGAAAGATTCCTTTCCAAGAATTACTCTGATAATGATTTGGATCCAATTAGTTGAAGTTTTCTAGTGCTCTGTGTGTATTTGATCGGAAATTTATAGATCTACTTGTAAAATAGTGGATCGGCGGTGATATTCAAAATTGGCTGGGTTACAGGCAGCAGGACGGGAAAACGAGTATATTGCTCAAACGAGGGACTGGATATGCATGAAATTTTTTCCCAGACCTGAACTGCTCTAGTACGATGGGGATACAGGCTGGAGGATAGAGGCACTATGGTTGCAGCTCAGGAGGCACCACATCGGTATGATTGCCGAGACTCAGCCATCGAACGGTGACGTTAGGAGGAGCCGCATGCACCCTCCTGCAATGTGGTAGCGCTGAGAAAACTCGAAGCAGAAATATTTGTGGCAGTCACTATTCTCTATATAACAGCATTTTAGCTATTTAGACATAATTACGGCCCCTTCTTGTAACCTCTAACTAGTTCTTTGAGAGAGAGCTTCAATGAAGGTATCTTGAAATATGTAAAGATCCAAAAGACCTATCTTTCATGCTCATTTGAAACATCTTTCATTGTTCTGACTTCTTTTAGATGTAGATGTGATGTTTGAGATGGCCAGAAGCCTAAATCTAGATCAGTACAGCTTTCACCTAGTGATTTTACGACCACAATTCCACCGGTTCCTCTTTTAGAGAAGTTTGTGGGGTATTCTGTGTTCCAGTGAAGTGGTTCAGTTTCCGGTGGTACAAAAGAAAAAGGACAAATTAGAGGTGCAGTTGAAAAACTCGAAAAACTATTAGAGAGCTCAAAATCAGAAACCAGCCTGCATAGTATGGGTGAGCCACATACTTTTACAAATTGCAGAACATTTAGGGGAAAATCTCAGCCTTCACAATAGCGATAAGAGCAATAACAATGTTAAAAGCAATAAATAATGAAACTATAAATGAATTAGACGCGGAAAACCCCTTTTAGTTTTATTTACTCATTTCTTGCTAGTCTACAACCCAATACAGTAATCCGCATTAACGATATCTGTTGATGATGATGAAAGAGCATCAGTGCAGATCTAGTCCACTATATGAATCATTTCACTCATCAAAAGAACAAATTCAGACAGGTAGTGGTCTTGGTTTGGGTTCTCCTTGACACGAAATTTTTACGCCCCTTTCCCTATCGGGCCATGAGGAAATAACCATCACTCCCTAACTCAAAGGACATGCGGGGTGATGTCTCATGTATTATTGAGATTTCATATGAAGTGCAAGGAAAATATGAAATTGGCTTATATCTTCTTCCATTTTCGAAGATCTCCCAGTTTAATTAGAAGAGAACGCGTTCGACGCGCGTCCCTCTCAAGAACATGTCTCTAGTGGTGTTGTATAGGTTAGATTATGCAAAAATATTTATTACTGCCATTTCACAACATCATTACATCTCTAAAAGTGAATCTTTTTTACTGATTAGTCGAAGGAGGTTAACACCCTCTCAGTGCAATCCTTGAAGATTGCTTAGCGAGAAGTAACGTGGAATGGACCACCACCACTGACCACCTGCCCCGAGCCATTGGTGACAGTCGTCTTACCATCAATCGTAGTATAAACGTAAGTTTGATTGTTGACAGTGATTGTGAACACATCTACGACCTGCCCGTTGGGGTTGTTGTAGGTCCCGCTGGTGGTGGAGATCGAAAGGTTGGTCCCTGGGAACGTGGCCGTGTAGTTTTCCCCATTGATTGTCACCATTACCACTGTCTGTCCGTCTTCTATAGTGACGGTTGCATTATGGTTGCCAATGCCGAGCTGATTTCTCCAGTTGGAATCAAATACTCCACCCTGAACTAGGTATTCTCTTGGAAACTTTAGAAAATGAATAAAAATTGTAGGAATTATTGACTCGTTGAGCCAAATTGAACTCACTCGAAAAGTGCCAGGCCAAATCGAGTTCCCTTGAAAAGTGCCAGGCGAAATGGGATTGAAGTTGTTCCCGAGTGGGTCCTTCTGAAAATGAACCGAATCAGAAGAACCATTGCAGAGCTCTGAATTGAACAGTGTTGTTGTCAAACCTGAGCATTCACATAAGTGAAAAGTAGGAGTGCGAGAGAAAGTACAGTAGCGTAACGCATTTAGGTACTGATGGTGGGTATGCTGCTGGAAGGGCTTTTAAATAACTCTTTTGTACCGTAAACACCTTTGTTAGGGTAATTCGACCGATTAATAAAGAGAAACTGCGATATCCAGGCAAGTGCAGGCACCAAACATCAATCTGTGCATGTGAATCACCGATGTCATGATTACTCACTCTGATGTCATTACTTTGATAATACAGTCGATCAGTTTTCATTATTGAAATCGCTAAGCATTTCCCGAGACTACAATTTTTTGGATCCTTCCACACACCGATCTAACCCACTAACTTTTTCCTCCCCTGCCACCCCCAAGTGCCGTTCGTCTCGGCGCAAGACAGAAGAAGTTGGAGTTTGGGAGGAGCCTAAGAAATCGTATTGAGAGGGATAGAGGTCATTCGATACTCAGTTTTGGGAGCATGAAAAGCCGTAAAAGTGGGAGATTTCCATTGGAGCTTCACTTGATCCTGATTGAGGTTAAGGTATGGCAAAAGGCGAAATTGGTCAAAAGGCAGTACTTATGAAAGTGGGTTGCACTTAAACCTGAATTCCGAACTCAAGGGAGCTGAAGCGGCTACCAAAAGGAATATTGAAAGAAATCGTAAATCTATGCTCTTCTCGAGTGAATCTGAATAAATTGGTATTTAGGAATTCGAAAGGCTACAATCGAGGTCCAGGAAACAGCAGGGATTCTACAATGCCTACAGCCTCTTGGGTGCTGTTTTTAGTTAAAGAAAATTCTATCTGTTCATTTGCTTCGAAGAGGATGAAAAAACTGAGTGCAAGTAAATCTTCTTTACATAAGTTACATTTCATTTTAACTCGATGTTCCTCCCTCATTCTGACCGTTTATTCAATTCTTGTATCAAACTAACTCGAAATCGCAGGCTTTAAGATAGAAAAAGGTTTCCTACGCCAAAGCCTGTCATTCTTCAGATGAAAGCATCCCGTTTTTTCAACTGCTCAGCCATTTCGTGATAGTTTTTGTGATGATTCCAACCAAAACTCCAATTTGACATATTCACCTTTGTTCTCCAATGACCTTTACTTGATTGCAAAACTTTCCTACCTCTCACTGTTGCATGAGTAGTCGGCTGAACAAATATTAGGGCTCTAGTAAACTAATAATTTGCAGAAATCATTCTGGACATCGAAAATCAACCCACCTTGTTGTAAAGGGCACTGGATGTTTGCAAATGAACATTGCTCATGAATCAGCGTTTGCCTTTTTTGTGGTGCCTGGAATTTAGAGTCTCTTTTTGAAAACTTTTGGAAAACTGTTATGTTAGAAATGACAGAGCACGGTCAAATAATGAGAAAGGCATAGTTCTTAGAATTTCTGCCTCAAGTATACTCCCATGAAAAGTTTCACCATCAGTATACTCGCCAGAGTATCACCTAGAAGTTACAACGATTTTTGTAGCAAAAGCAATGAACTCTGAGCGAAATCGCTCATCTCCGATGAAACCCTAACAAACAACCGCTCTTGTAGTCAGCGCGATTACTCGCATTGGTAGACTTACAGACACTCACTGATCGAACGTCTCACGACACACGCCCTTGTAATGAGCCATCTTTTTAGGATTTTAGTGATTTCAGACAAACTACTTCTCGCACACAAACCAACCTGTTATGCTTTTCTCTAATTTCAGAGGATGTTACGATATACGATAGTTTGTCCCCTGGGATTGCTGGTCCCATTAAGCTTTTGTGACGCTGCTGATTATGCGCTGCTGGATGGTAGTAAATTATTGCATGACTCCTACTTTGCCGTTCAGTACAGATGTTCTAAAACCCTCAGTGGAGAGGATGGGATATGTTCATTCCTTCATCATTTCTTTTCTTTCAATGATCTCTTTTCTCTAAGAAATCAGAAAAAAAGGAGTGAGTCATCGTTTTCAGTTGAGAAGCACAGAAGTAACTCTTATTCGCACACTCCCAATCACCATGTCAATATGAGAGGAGTTTTTGCTCCAAAACATCACAGCAGCCTCAGGAATACTTAACGACTAATGTTTTCGTAGCGGAACGTAACTTTTAAGCTTCCAACTTTTTTAGCAAGAAAAAAATGCGGAAGCGATGAAATGAAGGCTCTTCTTGACCCCTCTCCCTTCCCACGCTTCCTACCACACGCACCTTCCTCCGTGAACAAAGTGGTACCTCCACTTAATTATATGGACACTTTTATTTCAAGAGACCGACAACCAAGTAGGAATGGCGTTCAAAGACATTTTCCCTCAGTAGCCATGTCCCTGAACGCATTTTTCAACAAGAAGTTATCTGAGACCGTGCACATCGTCGGCTGACTGCCCAGTCACTGCGATTTTTTGAGCCTTGCAACGAGCTTGTTGAAAAGAAGAATTTACAGAAATTCAAAACTATGTGGGAAACGTGTTCAGCGCTTGCAGGGACGGTTATCTCCACTACATTATTTTTGCAGATTTTTGCTTCTGGAGCACTGAGCGAGAAAAATAAGGCTATATCAACATTCACATCATTCTATTTACGTAGCGTGAGTCACTCGCAATGGAAAGGCTATTGGTGGATCCATCAGTGAGCCAATTTTTTCACTTTCCTTGATCATCAATCAGTGCTTGGGAATTTCTACGACATCTCCTAATTTATCTAGGCAAGGCACTGTCAAAGTGGATACCCCTTCCAAGAAGTGGCTTGAAAATGATTCGGCTTCAATTTATTGACTCTCCTGTGTCTGTGTGTGTTTGATCGAAAATTTGTAAGTTCTATTGACTGCCGTAGAGCAGTACATAGGTGGACCTAGTATTTAGCTTGGAAGTGTTACAGTCGACCCAATGGGAACCTGATGGTAAGTGGGAGGAGCGGACTACTCTCCACAGGGCTGGCGGGGGTGAAAATCTGTTTCTTCAGACTTAAAGTGTTCAAAGTTGATCAGGATGCAGACGATATAATAGAAACATTGACGATATGTAACACGAAGTGATTGAGCTAGATTCCTCCCGGGGTGTAGGAGGGGGAAAATACAATACTTTCACAAGTTGCAGAACAGTAAGGGAAGTAGTCCATGCCCTTTGAAATTCCTTTGTAGATTGGAATGGCGCTTGATCGGATGGTTTTCAAATGCCTTTTATCTTTCCAGGCTCCGAGGAAGGCGAAGGCACCGAAACATCAGCCTAATAAAAGTTTAGTTGCAATATCGGTCCTACAGCTCAAAAGACAATCTCAAACAGTAAGGGAAGGTCTCGGACTGTATGAAGGAACGAGAACAGTAGAAAGCTATTAACTACGGAACAAAAAAAAACAATGGAAAACCCCTTTTCTGGTTTTGTTTACGACTTTCTTGTTAGTCCACAACCCAATCTACAGTAATCCGTATTAACGAAATCTGTGTTGATGACGAAAGAGCATCAGCGCAGATCTAGTCCACTCCATGCATCAAAAATAACTGTTTTAGACAGAAAATGGTCTTTGTTTGAGTTTTATTCGAGTACGACCTTCACAGTCCCGTCCGCTATCCGATCAGTACGAATTCCACTTTCTTCCCTTACAAAAAAAGCGGGCTGAATGTTCTCAGATGACTAGGTCTTCATATGTATCCAGTGCAAGGAAAAACTGTGAAATCGTTCCACTCGAGAATATGTCTTTAGAGGTGTTGTGTAGACAACATCAAGGAAAAATATTTATTACCTTTTGCCTTTTTCACAACATCACCACATTTTTACAGGGCTAAGCACTTTTACGGCAAGGAAGCTGACGCCGGCCTAGTACAATTTCTGAAGATTGCTTAGCGGGAGGTAACATGGAATGGACCACCACCACTGACGGCCTGCCCCGAGCCATTGGTGACAGTCGTATGACCATTAGTCGTAGTATAAACGTAAGTTTGATCGTTCACAGTGATTGTGAACACATCTACGAGCTGTCCGTTGGGGCTGTTGTAGGTCGCGCTGCTGGTGAAGATGGAAAGGTTGGTCCCTGGGAACGTGGCCGAGTAGGGTTTTCCGCCGATTGTCACCTTCACCACTGTATTCCCGTTTTCTGTAGTTATAACTACATTATTGTTGCCATTGCCCATGCCGAGTTGTTGCATGCTGTCTTTGATTTGTTGCTGAATCTGCTGTTGTAGCTGATTTCCCCAGTTGGGATCAAATACTCCACCCTGAACGAGGTATTCGCAGAAAAACTCCGGATAAATGGACAAAAATTGTAGGAAGTATTCCTCCATGAGCACTCCTTTAGCCGACTTGAACTCACTTGAAAAGTGCCAGGCGGTATTGGAGTGAAGTTGACCCCGAGAGGATTCCACTGAAAATATTCCACATCAGGAAAACCATTACAGAGCTCTGATTTAGGCAGTGTTGTTGACAAACCTGAGCATGCACATGAATAAAAAGTATGAATGCGAGAGAAAGTACAGAAGAACGCATTTCAGGTGCCGATGGTAAGCTATGCCGCTGAAAGCGCTTTTAAATAATTTTTTTGTACCACGATCACCCTTTGGTAGGATAATCCGGCAGTTTAGTAAAGAGGGACTGCGATATCCGGTCAAGTGCAAACCCCGAACACCAATTTGTGAACATGAATTTCCCATGGGATATATCGCTCACCTTGATGACGTTACTTTGATGTCTTATTGTTAGTCGATTAGTTGTCAATATGAAATTTTAAACACTAACCAGCGCTGGTCTTCTTTTCTCGACTTCCCTCCCCTCACTGGCCTTCCGCTTTCCCCTCTATCTACCTTTACGGGCTCGCTTTACAATACTATCCTGGAGGAAGTGAAAGTTTGAAGTAGGGATTTGAAAAAACGTACTTTGAGGAGGGAGAGGGTGGGGTTCAGACCGATACTCATTCATGGGTGGTGGAATGTCACACTATTAAGGATTCCCATCGAGCTACCGTTGATCCTGGTTGCAGCAAAGGTATGGCAAAAAGCCAAGGTGGACAGAATGACAGTGTTTGTAAAAAAGAATCGCAAGTCGCCATAAGTTCTCGAATTCAAAGTCGCAGAAACTCCAAAAAACGAGATCATGGATTCCCATCGAGCTACCGTTGATCCTGGTTGCAGCAGAGGTATGGCAAAAAGCCAAAGTGGACAGAATGACAGTGTTTGTAAGAAAGAATCGCAAGTCGCCATGAGTTTTCGAATTCAAAGTCGTAGATATTTAAAAAAACGAAATCATGGAAGAAATCACGGTTTCATGATTTTCTTGAGTAAACCTTGATACTAGTGTTTGGGAATTGGAAACGGGAAAGCCGCAGTTGCAGAAAAGGTACAGAAATGTGGGGATACTGGTTTGAGCAGGATGTTAATGCCTTCATGTAAAACACGCCTTTAGCTGCTCTTTTTGGTAGCTTTCAAGTTCTAGTTTGCTTCAAAGAAAGCACAAAAGCTGGTGGCAGGCAAGACTTTCCTACTAAGGCATACTTTTTTCTTACCGTTCTATTTTCATACGCTGTTTTTCGTTCAATTTAACCCTTTGGATCTACTTCTAAGTCACTTTCTCCACGTAATGTTGCAATCCTTAAATAGTGAGGTGTCTCCCGTGAAGAAACTTTTGATTTTTCAGGCGAAAAGCGACTGTTTTTCCTACTACTCAGCCCCCTCGTGATAATTTTTTTGAAGATTCCATGCTGGCAACTTCTCATTCATTCACGTTTTTTCATAACTTCGAACTGACAGATTCGCTTCTGTGTTCAAATGCCGTTTTATTCATTGCAGAACATTCTGAACTCTCCACAGGAACATAAGTAGTCGGCTGAACAAATTACATTACACTGTTCGAATCCTGTGATGCGAAAACCAAGGACTACCTCTTCTTTTAAAAATTTCAAGAAGCTCTTACTTTGTTTTAATTTGAGGGAAAAATCTTCTTTGTAACAAAAGTATATGGACATCCGAGTTAGATCCGACTTTGGCGAGAAAATCCCGGAGCATTTCCATTTCCATTTTTTTTAAAATAACCGTTGTGTCGTCATGCCTGAACGTGGTAAGCTTCTCTCCAAAGAAGAAGAAGCGCAAATCATTGGCCAGCCTGCTCTCCTGACTGCAACCCCATCGAAAACTTATGGGGAATCATGGCTCGGCGAGTCCATCTCAACAACTGCCGGTACAACACCGTAGAAGAGCTGAAAGCGGCGATCCTGGCTGTGTGGGAATCCATCGACGACACGACCATCACAAATCGATTCAGAGCATGCCTAATAGAATGTTCTAAAATAAAAAAGTGAAAGCTTTCGGAAATTTTCGAAGGAACAATTATTCTAGGTTTTTTCCACCCAAATATTTGTATAACAGTGGTGATTCACCTCAGAATCAACTGGCAAGCTCGATAAGCCAAAATAGTGAGGTGTCCACATACTTTTGTTACGCACTGTAGAGTTGAAAATCTGGAACCAAAGCAAAACTTTCATAGTTTACTGCTACGACCGTGAGAAAGTCCGATTTACCCTCATCTTTTCAATGCAATTCATTCTGATTAAACTGATTCCCGCTCATTACAAATGCTGGAATAGTTTTAAAGCCATTTTGATCAAACGGAATTGCAGAATTGATGACTCAGTGATGATTTGCGATGGAAAAATTGGTCATAAATACTTGGCTGAACAAATATTAAGAGCAATAATACAGGAATAATTTGCAGAAATCGTTACGTTAAGCATAAAATCAATCCATCCTGAGTTTAAAATGATGTGATGTTTGTCATCAAACATCCTAGTTCACGAATGGATAGTTCCTTTTTTAGGGGGTTTATATCAATTCGTAGCTTTTCTTTGAAATTCGATCGATTGCCCTTTGTAAAGGGACGTTTTTAATCGAGATTGGCTTCATATATAAATGCATATGCAGCAGTACTACACGTCGTCACCAGTGGCAAAAATGTTCTACACTTTCGTACTTCCTCTCGTATTCCTCTTCTTCACCTATGTGGAAGCCCAGGTTTGACGATACTATCGCATATCACAGGCTAAGGCTGTCGGATGCCTATGTATTAAAATATATCCTACCAACTTTTTCCAGTACGGTGGTTATAACCCGTGGAATCCATATGGTCGAAACTACAATCCAGCTCAACAGAACCCTTACCAGGTCGGTTCAGAAGGCTATTTATGGGAGAACCTTAAACTTTTGTTATTAATAGAATACTTTTAAATAAAGTCTATGTGAAGTAATCTCTATTCCGAAGCCAGATAGATCCCTGTAGGAATGATAGAAAAGTAGCAGCTATAGATCGTTTCGGCTGTATTTTTTCACAGTAACTATCAGGACCACTACGGTCAGAGAAGGGAAAACAAAGAGCGGTGCTCAGCATCCGCCAGCCTCTCAACTTTGCGCATTGATAGTCGTTTAGTATCAGTGGTAGCAGATAACTCTGGTGCAGTATATTACCCAATTCATTTTCAGTATAACGACTACAATCGATGGAATCCGTTTAGCCCCAACTTCAATCCCATTCCACCCGGAACTTTTCAAGTGAGTTCGGATTGTTCCAAAGAACACGCATTTTTATTTCTGAGTTTCTTTCAGCTATTACTTTTCCAGGGTGGAGTGTTCAGTCCTGACTGGGCTAAAAAACTACAAGAGAGGATAGAGCAGGAAGTCAAGAGCAGCCTGGAACACGCAGGCGTAGGCAACGGCAATGGCAATATTGGAGTTATCAACAACAATNACAACAGAGAATGGTCAGACGGTGGTGAAGGCGACGATTGGCGGAAAATCCTACACAGCTACGTTCCCGGGGACCAACACTTCGATCTCTACTTACACGACAACCAATTACAACAATGGGCAGCTTGAACATATATTCAAGATCACTGTAAACAACGAAACTTACATTTATACGACAATCAACGGCAAGACGACTGTAACCAACGGACAGGGACAGCCGGTCAGTGATGGTGGACCATTCAAGGTTACTTCGAGCTGAGCAATCTTTACAGATCGCTAGAAGTAAAGTCAACCTTTCATTAATGGTCTTCTCTCAAGCTTGAATAACCGCAAAATCAATTTGCATTGTAATGCAGTTATGTCGCAAACATTACCGGAATAAATTTTTTTGCATGATTCAATCCACATATCAAACTATCGTTCTAAGAGCACCTGAAATGAAAGTAATGGCTATATTATCGACAGCAGTCAGAAGGGACAATGAGAGAACAGCTTAAACTGAAATCCATCATTCCCCGCCAGTTCTCCTAAACTCAGAAGACTAATATACGACAATCTGTGCGATATCCGTAGGTGCAAAGTTTACTGTAACTCGACATCCAAAGAGGCCTAGTTTTTAACACAATCTCGTTAAAATCAAAAGCTCAAATTGAAACGAAGGACTGCTGATAGGAATCGGCACTGTATGCACGTTACTATCACGCAAAATTTAAAAATTCAGCTCATCAAAAATCCATCATGATAAGTGTAAGTTTTACTGAATAGAACACGCATGTATTTGAACTGCAATGAAAAAAATTACGAAGGAGGGTGTCACGGCGTAATCTCTTATCATTCTCCCTTTACCTTACTACATACTCTGTTGTTTATCGTTATAAAATAAAGATGGCACTGGCGCTGGAACTCCATCTAAGAAGTTGCTGTAATGGTTCGGAATATTCGCTAGTTCATACTAGGCTCTGATAAAGCCAAAATATTAGAAAAGACAACAGGGTTTACAGTTTTCAGTGATTTCTGTACATCTGCATTTATGAAATTAAATACTCTATCAAAAAATCGTCATGAAGTTACAGTTCATAATACTTCGACGTTCGCACATACAATTCCTGGTATTCAAAAGATCGTGCGAAAGCTCGATTCACTCTCATTGTTTGATAGATTTCTTTTCTGATTCCCGCTCATTACAAATTCTGGAATAATTTCATAGCCATTTTGATCAAACGGAATTACAGAATTGATGACATAATGATGATTTGCGGTGGAAAAATTGGTCATAAATACTTGGCCGAATAAATATGTATTAGGACAAATATTAGTTAGAGGAATCACTTGCAGAAATCGTTGTTGCGTGAATATAAAAATTAATCCAGCCCGACTTTAAATTAATGTGATGCTTGTCATCAAATATCCTCATTCACAAATAGACATTTCCCTTTTTAGGGCTTATATCAATTCATAGTTTTTCTTTGCAAATTGAATAAATGCATACGCATCAGTACAGGATGTCATCACCAGTGGCAAAAATGGTCTACACTATCTTACTTCCTCTCATCTTCCTGTTCTTCAATTGTGTGGAAGCTCAGGTGTGATGATACACAGGCTGAGGCTGATCAGATGCTTTTGTACTGTAATGTATCCTATTGACTTTTTTCAGAACGGCGATCAAAACCCGAATCCTCCAAACTATAATCCACTTCCACGTAGCCCTAATCAGGTAGGTTTGGAATACTATTTAACACCTTGACGACGAGCCAATTTTTTCCTGTCTGTCCCGTGAGACGAAACGGTTTCTTTCTTGGAAATTTGTTATTTCTCAAAAAAGTAATTGATTACGGTCGAAAACATTTCAAAACAAAGTGTAAAAGAGAATATTTCGCAAACCTTTCACCAATATTCAGGTTTTCCCAGAATTTGTTGTTATTCTGAGTTATTTCAAATTTGGCGGTGATAAATTTGAATTAGGGGTGTATAAATAGTACAGGTGGTTTAGATGGCGACGATATGGCTCCTGCGGTTGTTCCTGATACCGATGATTCTGACACTGAAATCTGAGATGACGACTACGATGAAGGAGCAGAGAACATATGGATGAATTGTGCTCAAAGTTATGATAGATGCACCTTTTCTGAGCCGGTAGAAACCGATCCAGAGGTGGATAACAGCGAGACGCCTCTCCAATTTCATGGGCTGATTTATGAGCGAAGGCTAAGGACAGACGATTTTGCTCCACTGCTATAGTTCGATCTCTGCAACATCAGGCGGGTCGACCGCGAGGAACTTCGCCAAGAGGACTAAGTCAAAATGCAGTAAATGTAATAAATTTTGTTGCCTAGATTGTTTTCAAGCACTTCATGATTGTTAGTTGCTGACAAAAACGAAATATTGGTCTTGGATTTAATTTAATAGGTGGCCGGTGCTACTTCAGACACTTATGAGCCTAAATTGAACACTTGTGCAAAAAACGTAAAGGGCACACATATTTTGATTGAAGATTGCACCGTCGCGCAGCATTGCGAGACATCGTCCCGTGAGACAGACTGGCTGTCGCGCACCATTGCGCGACATTGTCGTCAACGTGTTAAGGGGAAAATTTTTAGGGCACGGTCTACCATAATTTTGAGGTATCTTGAAAAGCGTAAGTACTGATTGGGCATACTGCATCGATGGTGATACTATCCATGTCTTCCGAGACGATGCAAGTGGGCAGCCACTGCCTTGTGATGGCTACTAAGCTCCTGTGCCAGCTCGCGGGTGCTACGTCTGGAATCCTCTTCAACCTCCTTCAGAAGGAGGTCGTCATTGAGCTCAACTGGTCTCCCTAACTGTGGTTCTTCGGTCAGGTCAAAGTGACCATTATCAAACTTATGGTCGCCGTGTTGTAGGAGAAAGTAGAGGGTCCCTTCGCATCACGTATATATGTTCCTTGTCGCATGCCTCACACTGACGTTTCTTCTGAACTCATAAAGTTGAAGCAGTCTATTTTGCTTTGAGTCGAAAGCGATTTTCGCAGCCTTATCGTTGCGAAATGCTACGGCAGCTATGGTATGGAGAGAGCATTGAACCGCACTCACACATATTCCGCAGTGAAGGTGATAGAACAATCTCCAAAGATTCCGCAACATGGAAACCAAAAAGTACAGAGACTTATGCGCCAACCTAATATTTAAGGGAAAAATTTTTCTAAGCACAGTTTAATATAATTTTGAGGTATTCCCGAAAAGCCGGAATTGACATGAAAGGTATATTTGAACGAGCTGAAAAGCTGAGCAGATTAGGCCGAAAACATCCGAAGCTTTCTTCCACTGTCGCCATATGTCACGAGTGATTGTCTGAAATTCCTACATGGTCCTCTTGCAAATGGTGCAGCCTCTACAATGCCGTTGGAACTCGTCCGCGCATACACGCGGGAAAATCTTTAAGCCCTTATAACGCGTTGTCTGGGCCGTTTTCCGACCTGACAACAGGGCCCAGGTTCATCCTAGCGGGATATTCCATGGGCCATCTTTGGCCTGAACTGTGCCCTTAACCTGTACAGTCAGTTTTTCAAAATAGCGAATTGATTTCGAGCGGGTTTACCAGGTTGCATGATTTGCAAGCCATCAGAACCTGACGGTTAGAGTGGGGAAACAAGCTTCATATCTTGCGTATTCGACGAGTATTTGGGACAGTTTTGTCTATAAGACATGCCAACTATAGTTACTTCTTTGCCTGGGCACTGGCCAATATAAATAGTTTGAACATTCAAGCTATTTTATGATCTACCGAGGTCCAGTTCGTATCCGTTCTTATCATTGTTACTCGTATGAAATTGAGTTCAGCAACGAAATAAGCAGCGGTACTCAGTAAATCACAGTTGTCTCATCATTACGCATTGATAGCCGTTTAGCACCAGTAGCAGATGACTCTGGTGCAGTACATTACTTAGTTCACTTTCAGTATAATGGCAACAATCTAAGGAATTCGTTTACCGCTCGCCCCAATCCACTTCCACCTGGCACTTTTAAAGTGAGTTCGGGTTTGTTCAAGAAAAACGCACTTTCTCTTGCCAGTTTCTCTCAGCTATTGCTTATGGAAGGAACATCTTTTTTCAGGATGGAGTGTTCATTCCCGACCGGGGTAGGAAATCAAAAGAAAGGGTAGAGCAGGAAGACAAGAACAGCCCAAAACACTCAGGCGTAGGCAATGGCAATGGCAATATTGGAGTCATTAGCAACAATGGTTGCCTAGGTATAACAACAGAGAATGGTCAGACGGTGGTGAAGGCGACGATTGGCGGAAAATCCTACACGGCTACGTTCCCGGGGACCAACACTTCGATCTCCACCTCTACGGCCACCAACTACAAAAATGGACGGCTTGAACACACATTCAAGATCACTGTAAACAACGAAACATACGTCTACACGACAGTCAACGGCAAGACGACTGTAACCAAGTGTCAGGAACAGCAGGTCAATGACGGTGGACCATTCAAGGTTACTTCGAATTAGGCGATCTTCATAGCTTACGTAGGCTTAAATAAAAAGATATTGGCTTTGTTTGGACAACAGCAAACATGATAGTTTATATTGCAAAGCCTAACATCGCAAATATAGACGAAGTGAATTTTTTCTCGATTTATTCCACACCGTCGAAGGTACAACAAAAACCGTTTCCGTAGTATCACAGATGAGTTGTAAATGCTCCACAACTTCGATATTCAGTAAAGGTGCCTCGCAGAATTTTTGAGAAGTGGAAGCTCTTACAACTGACGCCTCATACCTCTCCAGTCATCCAGTCATACGTTCGCCGACCTCCCCTTCNCCCCCCCCCCCCCCCCCCCCCCCCCCCCCCCCCCCCCCCTCCCTCGATCAAGATTCACTGGGCAATCACGAAATTTCCCGTATAAGCTAATCGCCTCTTCATAGTTTTTGTTTAATACCAAGCAATAGTCGATCAAATTGGTTGGAGATTAGTAATTCCCTCAACAAGGCTTTAATTGAAATTCACTTTTAGGCGGTAGCCCCGTCCAAGGCTTCCAATGTGAGATTAATTAGGTTAGGAAACAAGACCATGCTCGAATTGGTATCCTCGAGAATTACTTCAGTCTGAGGGCCAGGCACGTAAAATCTCAGCTCCGGGATAAGGTGTTATAGAATTCTTTCAAAAAAGGTAACAAAGTGATCAGGAAAGCATGATCTTTCTGTTCACGCTGATATTAATGAATTCCTAATTGTAGAACTGAAACCCTGCCCGAAAACTGTAAATTTGATTCGAAATGGATCATCAACCCTGTAGTTAAAAAATCAGGCACTTGCTGGGTGGATCTCTGTTTGCTACTTTAGTGAAGTAATAAGCAGAAAAAATGAATTCACCTGTATCACCTGTTTTTCTGTTTATTTAGCTTCATCAAAGTAGAAAAAATGAAATATTATAGGATATGCCATAGACCTGGATTTCTGATAGGTAAAGCTATGCTGTCGTCTGCGTCGAAACTGCTTTGAAGTTGGCCTCTAACAGATGGGCAGAAGGTGGACAAAAAAATGCCGAAGACTCCTGTATTCGCCTAGGATCGCCTATTTAAGATGATCAATACCTTGAAATATCCCATGTTGGACATTGAAATAGAACAAAAAGCTTATCACACTTGATGTACCTGAACGTTACTACCAATGATCCATTCTGAATCTGTTTCGTTCATATCTTCTCAGAAAGAACACATTCTCGGAGAAATCTCCTCCATTTATGTTTACTTTTTATGTGAAAGCGAAGTAGAGCAGAAGCTAACTCACAACAAAGAAGACAATTAAAGATCTAAATAAAACATAAACAAATATATGAGATTGTCAAACAACTAACAAATGCCAAAGCCGTTATTGTATGTAGCTCAATTTTGACTTGGCTTGGGCTTATAACAAATGCGATTATTGCTGCAGAAGAGGCACTAACTTAAATCACCAAACTTAATACTGTTCAAAGTTTTCTCACTTAAATATCTGATTCAACATCTGGAGACCGATAGTTGTGACACGATGACCGGGTCGGAGACTGTAGCTGATAATCGAAACTTCCCCATGCTGCTGGTTCTCTGAAGATGGACAGAAAGAATATAATGAAAAATAAGACTTGAATACTAGAGCGAGATCGATTCAGAAAATTTACTTTGTACTTTTCATTCTCTTACACAATTTTTCGTTCATTCAAAGCATTGGAGCGATTTGTTAGCCATTTTGGGAAGACGAAATTGCAGACGCTTTGACAAAGGAATGATTTATGATGGAATAATTTGCCATGATTAGTCAACTGAACAAATATTTAGCACACCAAAGCACTTTTCAGGTGAGTAGGGGCAAAATTTGCAGAAATCGCTCGGAAAAATGAAAGCCATATCCTGATTATGAGATGACGTGGCGTCCGGTGTTGGGTATTCTCGTTCACTAGCGGATGTTTGCTTTCAAAGCACCAGGTAACCTTTATGAAAGGACACATTTTTATCTGAGTTTAGCCATATAAAAGCATATCTGGAAGGGCAGTATGTCACCATTGGCAAAAATGTTCTACGCTACCATACTTCCACTCTTTTCACTGCTCTTCCCATATGTGGGAGCTCAGGTTGGATGACACGATCGCTTATATCCATGCTGATCGAATGCC